TCGGGGCGAATTTCCGGGGCGACACCGGCTCCGCTCCCGGGGACGCGGCGGGAGAAACCTGGCGCGAAGAGCTCGCCTCTGTGCGTGCAGCTTTCCTCCTCAGGTTCATGCCTGCTGCTTTATTTCAACGGCGAATTTCGTACGCCGGTGCAAATGACGGTAGTCGGGCTCATCCAGCTGCACGGCATCTAGCACGAAACCGCGCCGGGGACCGGCTTGCTCACGCTGGAGAGGCGTGCTTTGAGTTAGAACCCGCAGGTGCAGCTTTGCAGCCGCCTTTCTGCCTGCGCTGCTGTCTTTGTAATCGCGCTGCAGGTTTTAAGCAGGGTAACTTAAGCCTCGAGTCAAAATTTGCATCCGTCTTTACTGGAACTGCTCTCCAGGGGCCGTATCGTCAGCAGGCGGACCTAGCCCTTTAACAAAAGTTGTAGTGGTCTGAAAAAACGTGGGAGTGCTTTATTTGAGGTGTTTTTTTACATTTCTGCTTGGTTAATCTAAACAAATGTAGCATTTACATCTTAATTTCTGGCTGCCTGTGGGCAGACTGTCCCGTGCCCCTCTGGATCTTCAGTAGGAGCCCACTTAGGAGCAGCTGAGTAAAAACTTTCGGCCTAAATCTTTGCAGATCCCAGGGATTAGATCTGTAACTTCTTTCCTGATTTCTTTAACGGGCGCACCTTTTGGTGTGGGCACGTGCTTGAAATCTGTAGCAATTTAAGATACGTCTAACCGCTGCAGAAAACAGTCTTCAGCCAAGCCGTTTGCAGCGGGGCTCGATTTGCAAAGCCCTGTGATACTTTGCCTAGAGGATCACGCGCTACGCAGGGCCTCGGCAGTCCCAAATTTTATGCCCGTTTCTGCCGCTGTCCTGCTGGGATGAGTTTGGGCAAGTCACTTTGTCAGAGTTTCACCACCCGCAAAACAGACGTTCATCACCGGCTTCACTTGTAAAATGCTTTAAGGTCTGCTAACGCACCCAGGGGCCTGTAACATTCGTGCCTTCTTATCCGTGGGGCAAGGAGCGCAGGGTGAAAACTGGTGGGTTTAGTCGGCCTCTTTCAGCGCACCCAGGCTGCGGATCCGGCAGGCGTCGCTGCCTGCGGGCCGTCTCCATCACTTGATGGTCCTACCTGTTTGCTCTGAAACCTCTCCAGGAGCAGGGTAAAGATAATTTATCCTGTGTGTACCGGAGACTCATCGCGATAATTTTTACTCCTTTTGTTTCCCCCACGGGCACAAGAGGCTGCTTCGCCGCTGTTGGGTTGCGAGCGAGAGTCGCGATAGCAAGGCTGGCTCTGCCACACGCCAGGTCAAGGTGCTGTCGCTCCTGCCTTTCCCTCTCCCCGCTCCGTTCTGGGGTTCGTGCTTGACTGAACGGACTAGAATGAGTTTAGCGATGCTTCCAGGCATACGTTCTCCGTGAGGTAACAGACACGAGAAGTTAGTGTCACAGCAGGGAAAGTCGGCACAGCCGGGAATAGAGGGCTGCTCAGCCGCGATGCCGTGCGTTTACGGTAAAAGCACTTTAACGCATTTTGGCTCTCCAGGTTTTTGTCTTGGGCTTCTTAATGTCACTTTATCTGAGTACTTACTGGAAATATTTCTTCTTCGGATGCATTTTCCGTAAGCTTTTCACACTCTTAATGTGCGTTTATTAGATTTTGCATGAAATTCTCATTATTGCCGTGTCCTTCTCTTCCATGTTTCCATGACGTAGAGCAAGGAAGAATATTGAAAAGTGCAGTCCAGCGGCGGGAGCGGAGGACAGTCAGATACAGATGGTGTGGTTTGCTTCTCCTTCCCAATTTTCCATTCTGTGCCTCTGTAAAGGTGCATCGCGCACCCGACGGTTGCGTGTACGTTTGGCACACGAGGTTTTGAGAGCCCTGGTGCTTAAAGACGACTAGTGCAGGCAAGCGCTGAGCCGGCGGGAAAGGAGGTCCCTTGCGATTCCGAGAAACCCGTGCGAACCCCAAGGTGCTGTTCGTGTATAACAGCTCGCAGAAATTGGAGCCTGCTTTTGTTTAAATATAGGCACGGAGTTCGTTATCTCTCCAAGCTGTAATGGTGGAATGTAAATATTTGCATTGATTCGTGAGTCATGTTGGATGTCGTGTATCAGATGGGCTGGAAGCAAAAAGAACAGAAACTCATTCGTTTTGAGGTAGAAATTCACGTAAAATTGTCTTTAAGTTTCATTGATTATTACCTAAAGTTAAATAACAAACAAAAATGATGCAGTATTTTAAATGGCTTGTTGTCTTCAGCTGGTGTATTTTTTAAAGATAGGACCTTCTCCTTGGGTTTGAATTACCTTACTCGGAACATTTTGTTCCGAGCTTGTTTCGTTACTGGTATTTCCTTAAGTACATAATGTATATTTGGGTTCTTTAAGCAAATAATCCAACGAGACAGCTGGTCTCTCATAAGGTGTTCTGTTTTTAATGAACCTGGTTTGCTTCCGTATGCAATGCGATGCTGGGAGCTCCAATAATTTAAACTTTTTTTTTTTTTAGAAATTATTACAAGAGTGCAAAATGTCTTAAAACACACCGTTAGATTTTAATGTTACTGCTTTAGAATCACATTTTGTTTCGATGCTTGATTACCCTTAGGAAATTCAACACTCCTCCAGTAAGGAGCCCGGGAAAGCATTCGGTCTCTTTGAAACAGGGACCTCGTGCCTTTTGGCTCCTTTCGGCAGGATCTGACAGCGTAATCGGGTAAAGACAGGGACCCAGGGAAGGAAGCAGTTGCTATCAGATAATGGCTCCTTCTCTGTTATTTTGAGGACGTGAAGGAAGTGAGGAAAAACCCAGTGTCTGTGATCAGTTTATAAAGCACGAGTAGTATGGAACAAGTCTTGTAGCTTTGACCTGTGGCGGTTATCCACCGCCGTGAATGGTATGCCCTTGGTAACGGTACCCTGGAGGAAGGAGCACCCCGGTAACCACTCTGTCTTGCTGAATTTCTGTCCTGGGATCACTTGGGTTTTTTGTTTGTTTGTTTGTTTGTTTGTTTTAAATCATTTCACATCTCCAGATTGATAAAACTGGAAACAAATGCAAGTCTTGGTTTACTTGGGCAAGCTATCTAATGATTATTGAACTTGTTCCGTGTTTTAAGGGATAGACATAAAAGTGTAGAGAGCAAACTTATTAAAAACATAAATTCCTTCTAGATCGTGAAAGAGTCAATATACGTTCCTACTATGTAGCTTTACTAGCGATTCCTTTTTTGAAATCTAAGTAATCTAATTTAATCGTGACAAGCCCCGCGTTTCTCGATAGCCAGGAAAAGCAGGCGCGGCTCTGGAGCAGGACACTGGGAAGGTTCCCCTTTCCGAGCTGGTGCACCGCCGTTCTGAAGCCCCTTACCAGCGGCGCTGGAACTTCGCATGTGCCTCTGTGCACTCCCGTGTTTCGCCTGTTTCGGTACTCGGGAATCTGAGCGTGTAACAAAACCGACCTGGAACTTCACGCGGTGTTTGCGCTAGGTAGGAGCTGAACTGCTTGTGACGTTGAGACGCTGCTTTCTAACAGAGTGCAGCTGCGGCTCCTCTCTGAGGGTTGGCTGCGGGTCCGAACGAGGTGCTCTCCAGGCTGGGCTGCGCCGCCGCGGGTCCGCGCTTCTGGTGCGGAAACACGCAGTAGCTCTGCTGCTGCCTGAGGAGTGGATGCAAGCCATCTTTTTAGCTGAAGCGGTAGAAGCTCACGTTCCTGTCTCCAGTCGTTACTGTTCCCTGCAGGCATCCAGACAGGCCTGCCGCTGCGCTCGGCTTCACCAACAGGTCATTGCGGCCGGAGCCAGGGATGAAATACTGATGCCCTGTGGTCCTGAGCTAGTTCACAGGCAGTTGCTTCCCTCTTTGGTTTGCTCTTGTCAGCTTAAGTTATGCTTTCCTCCACTAATAAAATTACTTCAACTTGCAGTTGAAGAGCACAGTGAGAGTGTTGTGAACTGAAAGCTGTGGACTCTAAACGACTGAACAGTCCACGTTTAATTATATTACCCCCAGGTCTCGGAATAATATCCAAAGCCATTTGAAATAAAACCCAGACTGACCCGTAGGTAGTGTTTCACCTAGGTTGACTTGTAAGCATTCTGCTGTGCCAGCGTGTGCAGGGCATTCTGCCGTTGCCGCTGGTGTTTTGGCTGGCGCGGCCGGCCGGTGAAGGAGCGGGCGCAGGCTGGGGCTGGCCGCGGTCTGACCGCTTTCCTCCTCATGGAAAACGGGGGACTCTTACCTGAACGAACGCCGAGAAGTCCGGCACTTGATTTAGTAAATTAATGCTTCTAGGGAGAATGTCTTTAAAGGTTAACTGCTGGATGCATCTGGACGTTGCTGGGGAGACTGAGAGGTATGAAACTAGTCCAATTTATTAGGAATTATCCATCAGATGGAAACAATATTTACTTGGCTCTTATAGGAGATTAATTTGATGGACCTCACGTACACAAGTCATCGTGCTTTAAGCTTATTGGCAAATTCTGCGGAAAAGCCCAAGTTTACTGGGTGGATCGTTGCGTGTGATGAGTTACCTGTGGCGTGGGATCCCTTCCTGGGTCGCAGTTGGGCCACGTGGGAAACTTGATTTGGTTTTGAGGGCTGCTTTTATTACCGCCGCCTTTCCGGAGTGCAAAGTCCATATCCTTTTTAAACTTCCCGTACAAGATAATGCCCTGTGACCTGATGACTTCCACCGAGGTCTGAGTTTTTAGGATTATACTAATTTATGAAAATATCTGCTCAGTGCTCGTTAGATCGAACCCCAGATTTATGCTAGGAAAAGAACGAAAAGGAAAATGTTATCCTACTATATAAATACATGGATCGTTTGTGTTCGAACTCTTTCTTCAGCGCCAGTTCCCCTCCAGCTCATAAAATACAGGAGAACTGAAAGAGGCTGATAAGAGGAGTGACCAGAACGATGAGAAGTGGGAGACAGCTTTTGTGCGAGGGACGACTGAGCGGAGTGGGACTCTTTGGGCCTGGAGACGTGGTGAGCGCGTGTAGAGTTGTGAGCGGCAGAAAAGGGGCGAACGTCAAGTGCTTGTTGTTCACTGTCCTCCTGCAGAAGAATGAAGGGGCGTTGAAGTAACAGGTAGCAGGCGCGGGATACGTGAAGTAGGTGGCTCCTCACGGAGTCCGTGGTTGAGCAGAGGATGGGTCTCTTTGTGTTAGGGGCTGTTGATGTTGTTTATGGATCGGAGATGGCTGATTGAATTTACAGAAGAAAAGTCTGTTGGGCCTCTGATTTGAGAAGTCAGAGTTGCCATTTTTTGGAGCTGGAAGATTATCCTAGGAAGAAGGCTTGTGTGCTTGCCATTGTACGGATCCCTAGGGAGGTATCTAGTGCTGGTTTCTGAGCAAAGAGTGCTGGGCTAGGTGGACATTGTCCCTGGTGTGATGTGGCTAATTTTAAGCTTCTGTGGTGAATTTGTAGCTAAGTTACCTCTGGCTCCATAAGTGAAATAACTTGCTAAATTTCATCAACCCCATTTGTGGTCTGTGCAAAAACTTTGCTCAGAAGGCAGAAGGGAGCTGATGTTATGGCTCCTGTAGAGTTGGGCTCTTAGGGTAAGGCAGAAGTTGGAGATGCTGTGATAGTTTTAAACGCCTAGTAAAGGAGAAGAAAATGACATCGTGTCTGTAATTTTTGCATAGCAAGGGGTGCAATGACTTATTTCACAATTTTTTGGCATGTATTGCGTATCTGTTTTTCCTGAATAATGAGAAGCCGATGTATCTGCCAGACAAACCTATCAGGGTGTGCTTTGGTCACGGCTACTTTTTCATGCAGGCTTTTGGGAATCAGAGCAGAGGAGGAACGAGTCTTCCTGTCTGAGACGGCTGCATCTGCTAAACCAATTGTAAATACAGTATTGTTAAACTACGAACCACCGCTTCAGAGTTTACTGAAGCCTTGTTCATAGATGCCGTGCTGACTCTGGAAGCCATAATTCCTCCTGATGATCGGTGCCCCTGTGCTAGAGGTTGCTGTTCCTTCTGATTTGCTGGGGAACTGTAGCCTGTATTGCACCTCATGGGTGCGAATGATGCGGAGGCAAAATGAGCCAGGTTAGCACAACGAAAAGGTCTTGATAACGGGCTTCCTGGAAGGAGCACTCTCCTCTTCATGTCTAACAGCTAATTTGAGAGCATAGTAAGTCTTCTTGCCCGAGACTGTTGACGCA